GTGTGTGTGTGTGTGTGTGTGTGTGTGTGTGTGTGTGTGTGTGTGTGTTAAAATGTTTCCTCTTCATCAGTTGGACTACACAATGTCAAAAGTTTTGTAATTGTGTGAGATGCATTCCTGCTAATTTACGAAACAGCATGAGACAACAAATTACAGTTTAGGCGCCAGGTGCAGGTGAAATGTATGTTTGCCACAATTTCATGGCATAAGGAATCAGTCAGAATGATGTACATCCATCCATCATCCGAACCAATTACCCTCACAAGGGTCGCGCGTGTGCTGAAACCTATCCCAGCAGTCTTCGGGCGGTAGGCAGGGCACAGCCTTTACTGGTTGCCAGCCGATTGCAGGGCACACAAAGACAAACAACCGTTTGCGCTCACACTCACACTTAGGGACAATTTAGAGTGTTCCATTAACCTGCCACGCATGTTTTTGGAATGTGGGAGGAAAACGGAGTACCAGGAGAAAACCCACGGTGCTGGCTCAGACCTTTATGTGTGGACTTTGCATAATGTCTGGAATAGATAGTCTTAATATTCCTGTCATAATTAGTAAACAAAAAAGAAAGAATGAAAGAAAAAGAGAGAAAGAAAGAAAATTGCAGCTGAATAAAATATACTTTTTTGTGATCGCAATTCACATCCCTATAATTGACTGTCTGTAGACTTACCAGTTTGTGGTGCAGCATTACGTCTCTCAATGAATGCACCAAAAGACAAACTTTGTCCAAAACCAACCAGGTCGGCCTAATACACATTTTCTGCATTAGTCAAAGACAACGACATTGCGGTGGTAGTAAGAGGCATGAATAGCCAAAGATTTTACAATTAAAAGATTTTAAAATTTATTTTTTCTATTAAAGAGGATCAGCCCAACTAAAGTACCGGTAACTTTTTTTGGTGTTTATAGTAAACTAGCTTAGTTGCTCTCGTGGGTAGCTTCAGTGTAGTGAAGCTACACTTAACGAAGAATAGCTTGTACCTTAACTCACTATAATTTACACACAGCCGTGCTTTCCGACCTCATTCACAATGCTTCAAGGAAAAGAACATGGATCACAATTTAATTATAAAAGATAAAGCCTTCTGGTAACTTGGAGTGGGAAGGTACATGTTTGTCAAGGGTTGATTTTAGTTGAGAAAAAGATGGATAATAGATCAGGGAGTTTCTGATGATAAATCCGTTTGGATTTTCCATTTTCTGTGGGAGCAGATGACAGTTTATTTTTCTGTGGCTGGTCCAAACCCACAAGAGATACGATCCTCTCCTCCTACGTGAAACGTAGGAGGGAAGGCCTTACCTGTTGTGGTGAGGGAAAAAAGAGGGGGATTTACTGTGTCAATGCTTGGATTACTAAACATGTGGAAAAACAACACAGAGCTAAAGCTAAAGATTAACAGAATTTACGGTCAGAGCAGCCTTATTTAAGAGTGAGGGGAGAGCCAAAGGACCATAGGCGTTTTAGACATTTAGAGATCTGGAGGACATTCAAAGCCATAAAAGACACTTCAAAAAGGTATGACTTTGGGGAAATGTGAAAGTCGTGATGAAATTTGATTAGGTCTCTTAATAGTGCACGGACAGTGTACATTTTTGAGAATTGATAGTAAATGTGTGTGCCAGATCTGTAACTGATGAAGCAGTGCGTCTGTATTAAATGTGACGAGTTTTTGGACATCTCGATGAATTTGAAATCTTTCATGCATCCATACGATTAAAATTCTAGTGCGTTGAAATTCAGACTGACTGTAAGACATAGGTTGACTTCATCATCCAACGCTCAAGATAATGCTTGTCAACAGATGCTGGCGTTATTTTCTTCAGATCTTCTCAGATCTACTTTAAGTTCAGGATTAAACTTAGGCCCGGTGGGGAGCCAATTTAGAGCCAGGAATTGTGGTTGAACCTTCTACAAGTCAAGGAAGCATAAAGAAAAAGGGATTTTGAATTTAGAGCAAATAAAACATTTGCTGTTTGACGCTCCCAGAGGGAAAACACATTATCTAATTCAACATGAACAGAACGAAAGGATTTCTTTCTATTGTTTCAGATAGCAAAAATTGTTTGCCATCACTCAAATTTTCTGACATGGCTTCATTTAATGTTATGCCTGCTCCCTATTGTGGCAGACGCCTGCGCTGCCCTCATCAAAGGATGCAGCTAGTTGTCATGACAACAGTGCTGGCGCTGGCAGGTGCCAGTAAGCTTTGCAGTTCAGGCTGCTCCCTGCAAGTCTACACCATCCCTGTGGAGAGCTGTAACAAAACTGAATACGTCGACACCACCTTGTGTGCAGGACAGTGCTACCATGAGGTACTGGAAAGTTCAAAATGTTAATGACCGTCAAGCCTGAGCTTGACTGTTCCTTTTAGAGAATTGTCACTCAAGTACAGGCAGTTATTGAAAAGAAGTTGAAATAATTTTAACATTCATACAGTTTCCAACAGCTGTCCGGCAGTTTGGAGGATCCCTTCCAAAGGCCTCTGTAGCAGAAGTTACTGTGTGAGCTTAGTGCTCAATTACTCGCTCATAACCAGAGTCTGCTGCCTGAGCGTAAGTAGCGAAACCACTGCAGCCGTTCAGGGTCACAATTTGAAGTGACACAGTGTGATTGTGTGCACTTGTGCTCCGAACGAATGGCATTTTCTTAAATGGATCCAAGAATTCCCAACAATCTACTTTAATCCTCTATTGAATGTGAGCTACTCTATTTAGGGACGGCGTTTTTGCATTCCCGCAGGCCATTGGAGGTGAGCTACGTATATGTGAAACAGGTGAAAATGATGTTTAACGGAGGGTATGGAGGAACACTGGAGTGGGCATTGGGGTGCGAAATGAAAAGTGGCATAGTGCTGCCTCTGCATGCATGTGTTTGTGACATCGTTACTTTCATGTCCTTAGAAACCCAAACTATACCAGTTTAACTTCTTTCTTTACTCTACAGGTGTCACTTAATCTTGAAATCAGGCAGAAAATGTTTGGGCAGCTGAAAATTAAAGACTTATAGTCTTCAAGTACATTTGTATCACAATGTCTCACAAGATCTGTTGTTTAATTGAGTGACACAACAGTGAAATTTGACATTGGAAATATTTGTTTATATTTACAGTTTGAGCGTTACAGTCTAATTGATAAAATGATTATGTTTGATAAATCAATGAAACTAAGGATGCGGTTAGCATATCCACCTCACACTTCTGAGGATGGTGGTTTTAAAACCGTGCTCTGGCCTCCCGAGGTGGAGGTTGCATGTTTTCCCCGTGTTGGCTTGGATTTTTTTTTTTTATGGGTACTCCGGCTTGCTCCCACATACCATAAACATGCATGTTCGCTTTATTTAAGACTAATACGTAAAAATGTGCCCTGAGATTGTCTGGCGAACAGTTTAGCGTGTACCCAGCCTCTTGCCCAAAGTCAGCTGGTTTAGTTTCCAGCTCTCTCACACACACACACACACACACACACACACGTGCATGCACACGAGTCCTATTGAGGATGAGCATAATACAAAATGAATGGATGAAGAGTTAAATTTATTGACCTTTATTCTAATTTCAACCTTTCATCATCTTTCGGTAGGGGAGTAATGTCTGACCGCAAATAACTGTAGGCTACTGTTCTGTTCGCAGGATCCAGTCTACTTCTCTGCTACACGCCAGACCGAACAGAACGTCTGCAATGGGAACTGGACCTACAAAGTAAAACACATCAGAGGTTGTTCGGTGGGGGTCAGCTACCCTGTGGCCACAAGCTGCAAGTGTACTTCATGTAATGAAGACTACACAGACTGTGCTGCTCGTATCAATCACAGCTGTTTTTGAAGCCCTGCTAATAAAAACCTTCGTACCGGAAAAAAAAAAAGTATGTATTTCTGCATTCAAATATGACAAAAATAAATGAAATAAAACATCAATTAGTGGTTTGCTGCATTGTGTCAATGATCACAAAAATGTCAGTAACTTGGAGTTGACCCAGATCTGATTTAGATTTTGCATGGAATTATGGTATTAGCTGAAGAACTCCAGAAAAGTCGCGAATTTTCTGTTGCGGACTTCTGGGTCTTTGACTGCAATATCTCCCACCTTTAATGTCTTCACAATGAAGATTATCGCCTCACAGAAACCACTCCGAAGCAATGAACTCCTTCACTTTGAGGCCTTGTTGTCACAATTGATCTGTTTGGGACCAACAGGTAGCTCTGTAGGGCTCCTCCTCCTACAGCGGCACACCTGTTGGTCATCATGCCATTAGTGGGTTTTCTGTTAAAAGGACTCCCAGCCCGACCACTCGGTGTCAGGTCATTGTCATTATCACTGCTTTTGTTGGTTAAGTGTTTGTGCCTTACTGCTGTTTTTTTTTTTTTTTTTTGGATGGTTTTCTTTTCCCCTTGTTTTTGCATCTCCCGTGGATTTTTGTTTGTACTTTGGATTCTAGTTGTTTTCAGGATTTTGTTTATTCTGGATTTAGCTTTCTCAGTGTTTTGGTAAATACAGTTTGTCAAGTTCACCCTGCTCCTCCCTCCTGCTTGCTTTTTGGGGTCCTCCACCGTTCGTGACACTTGTAATGCATGATCTGCCAAATTTTATTGAGACTTGACATATCTCCATGGACTTTGATTGGTACATACCCTGATTTGCTGAATGTGGTTTTAAACTTCCTGGCATAATTGTTAACATATCCAAAGACATCCTTTGAGAACGTCCAATAGAATTTTCTAGCCATGTATTCCCAACTCCCTTCTGAGTAGCTCACTTATTACGAACAGCAACAACTGCTGAGAATTCAGGTTTTGGAAACTAGCAATTTTAGTCAGAGAGACTGTAGACCAGCCTAATAGGTTACTAAAGCACATTGTATTTACCCTGATGTTCTGAAGTCAACACAACCATTTGACACCGAGGGCTCTATTAAGTTGTGGCTCACCCAAAGCCACACCCTGAATTTGCACTACCTGTGCATGCTCTTCCACTCCTGAATCGTTCCAACCAGCCCTTGACAGTTTGAAACAAATTTGTGTAGACGTGGCCTGCCAGAGCTAAAGATAAAGTTCTTGCTATTCACGCTCCATTTCATCTAAGACTTTCAAAGCTGCTCTATTGCAGCAAATTGTGATGCTGCTTATTGTTTCCTTGTAGAAGACAGACTTGGATGTGTTTGCCCTTCATTCATGACATTTAGAATGATGACGATGAAGAAAAGTGAATGAGCATTCGTCCAATGTGCTCATTCTTTGATAGAATGCTTTTCTTCAGTCAGGCCAAATCGACCTTGGCAAGAACACTGTAGTTCATGATCAGCAATTGAATAGGTCATATCTACTAGAGAGTACAAGGTTCTTAATTTTGGTGTTTGTCAGAAGTTAGGGGAAATTCCTGCCAACTATTGTGAGAAGCTTGTGGAAGGATTTCCAAAATGTCATGTCATACAGTTTAAAGGTAATGGTAAATGAAATCTATGTACTTCTGTAACTTCTGACTTTGATTACAATAAACAAAAATCGTCTTCACTTTTGACTTAGCATGTAAGTTGGCACTGTAAAAGTGTTTTATTGTGTTGGCTATTTTTATATTAAATTATTGTTTTAACTGTCTTGGTTTTAATATGTCTGATTTTTACTTTATGTACAGCACTTTGTAGGCAGTTGTGGTTGTTTTTGAAGTGCTATATTAAAAAAGTCGAGTTGAGATGAGAGAGATGAAATTTGAACCCGTTACTCCATCTTCGGTCCAACAATACATGTATTCATCATACATTTCAATAACCTATTGTTTTCCTCATGAATCTAACTACACACCTATCAAAGGTTGTTGAGAGATTTCACTTTTTTCTTTGCTGAATTATATTTGCCACCTTGAGGACTGTCCTGTGTCACAAAGCCTCGTTACAAATGATTATTATTACCTTAGATTCACGAGGCACCTTTCGAGGCAGCCAAGGATGCTTAGATATAGTTTGGACTCATCCATTTAAGTTTGAGAAACATCTGTATATCTCAAGTGACATGACAGCACCATTACCACCTAAGCAAAATGTGGAAATAAAGTTTATTAACATGAATTGGCACAAGAATAAAAGTTTTCATGAGGGTTTACAAAACAGGCTCAAAAGTACCCAAATAAATCAAAATCCTCACGTTTTACTGCTTACACTGTCATGAGCAGCAATGCATCATGGAGTCAACTTGTATCAAACAGAAAAAAAAAGCAGCGTTCTTCATCTTCCCAATAACCGGGTATACCTGAAGCTGAATTATTGGAAAAAACAAGTTTTAGTTCCAAGGATCCTTTGAAGTAGCTTTTCAGAATGAGTCCATCACTTACAGGAAACATTAGGTGGACTTCGCACAGTCTAATGATATCCAAAGCAAAAGCTCTACTACTCTGCTCCTTTAATGTAGCCAAATAAGGAAAACATTCTTAGCGCAATGTAATGCAGTTCTACACCACCCCACGCCCCAAACAATATACTGAGGATATCCGATGTATACTTCTTTTACGGTGCCTTTGAAAACGGTGACTTTTAATACGTGTATATTGTTCACAATGCTCCAATGAATGTCATTAGATTGTGGCCACTTAGTGTAAGCACAATTTACCACGCTTTATTAAAAAGCAAACTTGTTGCGAATGATCTCTCCACCCTCCACCTCCATCTGCTCATAAAGCCACTTCCTGTCACAGCGGCACTCGAATCCACACTTGCGTGAGCTGCAGTCGGAGCAGGGATAGAAGCAACCCATGCAGTCCACATCCAAACAGTCGCACAAGTCCTTGCCGTTGGACAACAGTCGACCTTTGCTATCGTAGACTCTGCTCTTGCCTCCAAGGAACTGCCTGCATGAGACATAGGAAAGAGACATTACTATCCGGACTGGATGATGATACACCTGCTTCATTGTTCTTTTGAACGAAAGTACTACTACTTTAGTTAGAACTACTCTTTCTACGATGTAATGTTTATTGCCATGCAAGCGCTAAAGGATAAACATAAATAAAAAGCATGACTTTACAGCTTGCAGCCTCGTCTCTCCCCAGCCCCATTACAAGTTTTTGACTTTTTTCAGCAATACCAAATTTCTCTGTAAAAGCATCCATTTTACATGAGCCATAACTTGTTTTATATTCGAGTAAGAGATGAGCTACATCCTATATCACATTGAGACCTAACCTTTGTTTGTCTTTGACATCACAACAGGAAATCATCTAAAATATTCGGAGCATCTGTTGCTTTCTGAGTCTCGTCCCGGCAATTAATTGATGACGCAAACTTCTACTTGGCTATGCAAATCGGAATTCAAAAGATTTCTGTAAGTGTTCCCAACACAACAAACTGATTGTCATTTAGGTTTGGTTGATACTTTAGTGACAGCGGGGATGCAATGACATAACAGTTTGGCAATCTTTCTATTATGGAACAAAAATGTTATTTTTGTGAACTTGTTTGTGTGCTTATACAGTGCCCACCATAATTATTGGCACCCCTAGTTCAGATGTGTTAAAAGCCTCAACAGAAATAAACTTTCTATTGCAGAACTACTCACCTACTGAAAATTGTTGAATTGTATTAATGGCTATAAAACTGTAATAAGGTCATAAAAATGATTGCATTATATTGGACAAAGTAATATTCATGCTTCAAAGTATAAATCAATTAAAATGAATCATTTTTACTTTGCAGTGACATTCTGACAATGGGATTTGCATACATATTGGCAAGGCAAGGATGTTTTATTTATATTGCACATTTCACACAGAAGGCAACTGGATGTGCTTCAAATACACTGAAACACATAAAACATTTTCATGGGAAGATGTACTTTCAATCACCAAAATAAAAGCAAAAATAATTTAAAATGTCACTCACCATTAGCTACGCTTAACTGAGCCGTGGCATATTCCAACAAGTATAATTATGACACTGACAAAATAGCAACAGTGGGATGGGGTGATTCAATGATGGATAAAGTTCTCACTAGGACACAATTCTTGTCTGCGCATCAATTTACATAATAAACTGCCAAGGAAGCTTCACTGTGGGTGGCCGCTCATAGGGATCGATTAAAACTGGCAACGATTGGGGCCGAGTCAAGTCATTAGCTTTCAGCTAACTTTGGAGTCATCTGCTAGCATCGCTGTTTGTTTGTCTCCGCTGATATGACTGTCAAAAATAGCAGTGATCGTTGTCGAGTCAAGTTGTCGAGTCATGTGGCTAGTCTACCAAAACAGGGCCCCGAGTGTTCTTATTAGTTAACCCCTAAAGAAGACTTCATAAATGAAGAAAAAAAAGAGATACGTTTTACGTGACTTGAACTGAAAACATCATAAGTGGAGAAAATACACAGGCAAGAAGCAGTTTTTACATATATATATA